GGAAGGAAACCGAGGCGCGCTGGAGGGCACCGTGTCCGGTTTGGCGCCACGCGAGGAAGGGGGTTTTGGGGCAGCTCTTGGACGTGTTCGCGATGATGATGGTCGTGGACCGTCTGCTGGCGCTGCAGAGCCCTTCGTTGGTACCTATGGATGGGCTCGAGCATCTCAGGACACGAAAAGTTCTCGACCTCGAATGCCCGCACGCTGCCCGAGAAACTGTGTTGCGACACCGTCGGCGCCGGGGCTGCGCAGGCTCTGAGATCGTGGGAAAAGTGTGTCCTGAAGGTTTCGAGCCCCCCGCGGGTACCCATAGGGCGCCTCCAACCTCTAAGGACAAGAAAATATCGCACACTCGACTCACACCGCCGCCCTCTCGTCCCGCCGCCGAACAACCGTCGCGCTCGCGAGCCAACGCAATGATCTCAGCAGCCCAAATTCGCTGCCCCGCCCCGTCGAAGGGTTCCGCAGCCGCGCCGCGCCGCGCGACCCGCCATCGTTGCACTCAGCCCGCGCGCTGCGGCGTGGAAGAAGAAAGAAAACGCTAGCGGCGGCCCCGAGTAGTACGAGGACCTCGCGTTTCGCCTGCCACCCCATCTAGATTTATATCCCCTTGCACCGAGGTGCACTGGGCATCAACATCGTCACAGCCGAGACGTTGCCCCTCTCCCCGCGACACGATGGCCTGCCGCGCCGTCTTCGCCCTCTGCTTCGGAGTGCTCGCCGCGTCGCTCCAGATCCCGCACCGCTCCAGATGCCTCACGCACCGACGCGCCACCCCCGTCGACACGGCCCCGGACGACGCCGGCGCCGACCTCACGAGCCGCAAGATCGTCGCGGGCCTCGCCGCGGTCGGCGTCGCGGAGACGGCGTATTTGAGCTACTCGAAGCTCGCGGCGGCGCCGGTCATGTGCGCGTCGCAAGCCTGCGGCGGCGTGCTCAACTCCGCCTACGCGTCGGTCGCCGGCGTGCCGCTCGCGTTCTTCGGGTTCGCCGCCTACTTTACGACGCTCGCGCTCGCGGCGGCGCCCCTCGTCGCGCCCGGCCTCGAGAAGAAGACGCGCTGGCCGCTCCTGGCGACGACGAGCGCCATGGGCTGCTTCTCCGCGTGCCTCCTGCTGCTCCTCGCGTTCCGGCTCCAGGAGTTCTGCGCGCTGTGCGCGGGCTCCGCGGTTCTCACGCTGACGAACGCCGCGGTCCTGCGCGCCTGGAAGGCGGAGGCCCCGCCGCCGCGCCTCGTCGGCGCCGGCGCCGCGGCGCTCTTCGCGGCGGGCGCGCTCTTCCTCGCGGAGACGGACGTCGCCATGGCGGAGGCGCGCGCGCATGGTCGCGAACGCGCCGCCCGCGGTCGCCGCGCCCGCGCCCAAGGGCTACGGTGGCCCCGTCTTCACGCCGCCGGACGTCACGAAACCGTCGACGGCGCGGTCCGCGGCCCTCGCGGCCCA